GAATAATAAGGAAACCACTGGTTTCTCGTATACCAGAATAATAAGGAAACCACTGGTTTCTCGTATACCAGAATAATATGGAAACCACACTGGTTTCTCATATACCAGAATAATATGGAAACCACACTGGTTTCTCATATACCAGAATAATATGGAAACCACACTGGTTTCTCATATACCAGAATAATAAGGAAACCATACTGGTTTCTCATATACCAGCATAATAAGGAAACCATACTGGTTTCTCATATACCAGAATAATAAGGAAACCGTACTGGTTTCTCATATACCAGCATAATAAGGAAACCATACTGGTTTCTCATATACCAGAATAATAAGGAAACCATACTGGTTTCTCATATACCAGAATAATAAGGAAACCATACTGGTTTCTCATATACCAGAATAATAATGAAAACCTTAAAGTCTATTATTATGCAAGAAGTTTGTATCACGGTTATACTCTCGACATAATGGTTAACATGCTGGGCTGAGGATCAGAAGTTCCAAAGGTTGAATCTACAACAAGCCATTGAACACGCACTACCAATTCTGTTTACTCGATTAAGAGTAGCTGTGTAGGCAAAATACTAAGAAATAATAGTTATTCATACGCACACCATTGTGGCTTTAGCAGCCTTCGGTTAATAATGACCAAATGTCAAATAGTTGTATAAATACAATATAAAATGTATAAAGCAGTTGAATTTGAATATTATACATGTCGCTAGTATTGTGTTTTAGTGTTTATTAAAATGGACAAGAAAGCAGTTTCTGTTGGAACTGGAAAATTGTGTTAGTTTTTGGATAAGCTTTATGGTTATTTCAAGTCCTAATGGTCACTTTTTAATTCTTTCTATTTGAACGTTCATAAACGAAATTATAAGGAAAAACCGGGTAAAGTCAAAAGTAAAAATATAAATTAAAAACATTAGTTTTTGATCTATAACTCTCTCATGCCCGGCATGGCCAGGTAATCTGAGGGTCGCGGATTCGAATCCCCGTCACACCAAACATGCTCGCCCTTTCAGCCGTGGGGGCGTTATAATGTGACGGTCAATCCCACTATTCGTTGGTAAAAGATTAGCCCAATGGTGGATGGTAATGACTAGCTGCCTTCCCTCTAGTCTTACACTGCTAAATTAGGCTAGCGCAGATAGCCCTCGTGTAGCTTTGCGCGAAATTCAAAAACAAACGAACTCTCTCATATACTTCTATTAAAAATATATGTCAAGAAAATCATGTTTCTACTTACGACTTGCATCTTATTATTTTTTCCGTTCCACGTCAGCCTCTCATCAAATAGTGGATCCTTATTGGTCCCGATGAAAAACGGTTCCCAGCCGAATTTTATCGTTTGTACGGTGGTCATAAAAATCTTCAAAGCGATTGGTGAGCCTTTAGTTGCTAACCAACGATCTAGATGTGGGATCCGATGACATACGTCACAGACGTATTGGTGAAAAGATACGGCAACTTTCCGCTTCATAAGAGTACGTAAATCTTCTTTTCTTGTCGGTGGTTGTATTCCTGACTTCACCTCAAAAACGGGTAACACAAACACCTGGCGTTTCGTCGCGAAGTTGGAGTTTTTCTTTTTCATATTCTCCACAAGACGAAGAAATCGAGGAATTATGTTCTCGCTGGGATACAACTCAACATCTGAAGCGAAGACGTAATGTGTTTTAGCGTTTAATCTGGCGACGTTTCTGGCGACGTTAATAGGGTAAGGAAGATTATTGCTTACTACATAAGTTAAGTTTTTTGTTAAAGGTCTAGTTTTACAATCTATAGAAAAGAACTCAATCTTTGAATCTGACGAAACTTTTTTGTGCATTAAATTTAGAGATAATTCTAAA